ACCCCCCTCTAGTAAAAGCGCCGCCAAGGTTGAGGAACGCTGTTGTAGGGGGATCTCACTTTATTTTAATTCAGTGACTGGTGCAAAGACCCCAGAGGGCTTCCATGGAAGGATTTGAATCTGGATCTCCCCACTCCTAGACCACTAGGCCACTCTGCCTCTCTTAATTCTTAGTCTTATATCCCGCTTTTCCTTCGGAGGCGTCCATATCACTCCTTCCTCTTATTTGGCCCCGCCACAGCAACCCTGTGAGGTTGGCTGGGTGGAGGTGAGGGACTGTCCCAAGGCCACTCAAGGGTCTTCTGCAGCTGAGGGAGGTCTTGAACCTGGGGCTCAGGTCCAACACTTTCACCACTGCCCCACACCAGTTCTTGGATTGTCGGAAAAACTCATTTTCTGAGGGGAGAAAATACACCGAGCCATCAACTAAGCATGCAGGGTGAGCTCACACAAGCCAGTCAAAAGGGGAATCAGAATTAAAATGAACCCAACTTAGCATGTTTGTGTGAATGCAGCCATGTGGTTTGTCACTGACCTGGCTAAATGTGTCGTGTAAACACAGCCATGGTCCTGTCTGGGCATTTTCAAGAGAAAAGTAGCAGACTGCATTAATAATCATAATCATATCTAATTATCTGGATTGTAAGGCACCTCCACATTTTGCTGGGAAATTTCCCATTAGGGATAACTCAGCGGCCCCTAACTCTCCTTCAACTGATCATATTTCAGATATTTTCATTTTGCTTTTCAGCCAAAACCTGGTTCCCATAAAGCAGTTTACAAAAACAGTCCTTCAAAATACTTTGGGTTCTTTATATAGGTCCAACATTTATGATGTAAAAAAATACAGAGAAGGAGCGACGGAGCAATGAAACGAAAGTGATCCAGACAAGTGGTACTGTCAAAAGGCAATGGAATATATCTGCTTTTGCCATGATTTTATTACAAATAGTCACACTAGGGGCTATCAATAATGACCCACCTTCCTGTAGCTGTTACAGCATGGGCTAGTCCATTCATTTTAAAAGTTTGCGATATTCTAACCAGATTATTGGTCCCGTAACCACATATTGGAAAGATAGAAGCCATGGTCTTCAAACCATTAGACCAGTGTTTTTCAACTTTGGCAACTTAAAGATGTGTGGACTTCAACTCCCAGAATTCCCCAGCCAGCATGGGTGGACTTCAACTCCCAGAATTCC